GGGGAGGGGGGGTATGTAAATTTTTTAAGCTTTCATTGACAGAATTCAGGTCATATCATTAGAGCTTAGAGGAATAGAACATCCCAACAGAGAGACCGAGTTACTCGATAGAAAAGTAAGCCTGTTAGCTATATAGCTTTTATTTGTTTGGAAAGGAATTGTATAGTCAAACAAAAACAAGTAGCTTTAATAGAACTCGGGGCCCCATTTCAACACTTTTAGTATTGGCTTGTCAAAGAGGCGGGACTTTCGAGTTTAATGTCCGTCTTCGAAAGGACCGAGCCAAATAGGAAATTAAAATTAGTGAAGAAAAGTGCAAGGGAAAAGTGCCTTTCCAAAGGACAAAACGTCGTAGTGAGCTGAAGCCCGAAGCCCGAACCCGCATTCCCACGATTATGGGTCCAGTAGCTTGGACATAATTGTCTATTAGTTAATTTACTGTGATTGGGATGATTAGTATGACTGGAATGTACGCTACGGTATATATTTTTGGAAAGTAGCGTACAGAATAACAGTAGCTGGCTCTAGATTAATTATAATTGTCAATAAGTATTATTATTATTATTATTATCATTATTATCATTATTATTATTATTATCTAATGTAGAAAGTGTTACGAAAATGTTCTGTTAAATCAAAGTGATATCACAACAGTATTATTAAGCTTATACACAAGAACTGTGACGCATTACTGTTAAAATTGTCCAAGAGGGCCACACATTGTCGAGGAAAGGGGGGTGTCTTAGACAGGTTGACGTTATGGACAGTGTCATTATCATAGTATTATTTAAAACTTTAGGTTGGGAGGTGGTTGTTTGCACAGGTCAATATCTCGGACAGGAGGTCGTTAGAGCAGGTTGCACTGTAGTTCTGACGCCCCTTTTGATATCAAAGGCTTAATGATTCGACACCTTGAATCTGAAAGCCGTATCTGAGTCTGTCTTGGAAATCTGATGTAACTGCATGTAAATTACATCTCAACGGATTTTCGGGTTTATTATTTAATATTGTCAATGCTGGCAACTCGAACACCTTTTGATTGGGACAAAACCGCGTGATGTATGTGTCCAACCCTATCAGAAACCCAAAGCATTTTTTATGTTTAAAAACGGGTCACCAATCTGACAACATTTCAGGAATGCCATCGTCATGCACAAGAGCACAACAACCATCCACCCTGTGTCCTGAAATGGCCGCACCATCCCCCCGAAACTTGCACGGTGTGTTGCGAGGACAAAAACTGTGTGCTTTATGCCGCCGACCTCAGTGAGTGTGTGAATGGGAGGAGAAAGGGGGTGGGGGTGGGCGTGTCTCAGTGAAACCGTGGCCCTCGTTCACTCTTTTTATCTATCTAGCTATCTAGCTACTTAGCTGTCTAGCTGTCTATCTGTCTATCTATCTATCTATATATCTGTCTCTCTCTCTTTCTCTCTCTTTCTCTCTCTCTCTCTCT